CAAATAACTGCTATAAATAGAGCATAAGTTGGAGAGAAAGAAGAACACATCGGAAAAAACACTCGAAACACTCTGTATACACTTAATATACACTCTGTATATACTAGATATACACTAGGTATATACTAGATATACACTAGGTATATACTAGATATACACTAGGTATACACTGCGTATACACTGGAAAAACGAATTGCAATCTGATATTCTCTTCAATAAGAATTCAACATTGGCTATACTTTGCATTCCTTCCTCTCAGAATTTCCATTCGACTTCTGAGTGGTCCTCCTTATTCTGCATTGTTTTTAACTACAAACAAAACATCCATAAGTGTGATTTGCTGCCGAACTTTATGTTCGCTGAAACACTAGGGTTTGAAGTACTGCTACACCAGTGTGTAATTCGTTCTATCCTGGGAGGAAATAATCTATAACCTTGGATACTAGGAGGGGATTAAATTCTTTAAGGAAACACTGTGAATTCAATGGGCTCAAATTAATTTCTATTTTATTTATATTTACGTTTATAAGCTAACGTTCTAATTTCCGGAATCATTATTTACAAATACAGACAGAAAAACAACAGCACTTGCCTCACTTGAAAACATATGCATGTAAATCAAAATGATATGCCAACCAACGTAAATTCATTTGGCAGAAGGAGTAATAAATATAATCTTTAATACATGTCATTCCTTAATTACCATGGCATGCATTTTTTCCTTTAAAGATTATCACAGAAGTAATTTATTCACCCATGAGAACTCACGCATATGCTATAGAAAAAGAAGTCATTTTTAACTTGTATAGGAAACAATAAATCTGAAGCGGCCCTTCAGCTTTTCAATTGCAACTAAACAACGGTTAGGAACTTGTTGGAAAAGTTACGTACCCACTTGCATCGGGCGAATTAAGGACTTTTCCAAACTCCCATTTGGCCATTTGTGTTTCGATTAGGCGCCATAATGCCGTTTCTTAGTCAGATCAGAAAAAACCCAAACTTAAGAAATCTATACTTTGACAGACCAATTGCCAAAAAGATATATCGACAGAGAATACATGTACAAAATGGGAATATAGAAAATTTGACAACACGGCTACTTTTTCCATATTGATGACGCCAATAGTAATCACACTGATGATTATTTGGAAGTATAACCAAAATGAGTTTCTCCAGCAATATAATTAATCAACAGTCACAACTTTTCGCATTACTGTGAACATCACCCATGCAGCTCTGTAAAAATATGGACAAAATTGTTAGAGCCACTAAATTATACGAGAATTTCAAGTCAAATAGTTGCCTTGATTTTCATAAAGCACTAGCTTAAAACTTCAGTGACAAATAAATGACATTTAGTATTCATATCGAGTGCGTAAAAGGCACTTTTGTTTGCATCCTGGAATACATCGTTCCAACATTCATACAGTTCCTCTCTGAATTTTCCTCTTTCTTGTTTAGTCTCCAACAAATAGATGTTAAGATAAACACAGAAAATAATTTAAATTCCTTAAGATTGTTGGTATTACGGTGTTCGAAATCAGAAAAATAGAACTTAGAACAAAAAATGCAAAAATAATTCCGAGCCCACTGAATACACAATATGTCCTTAAGGAATTTAATCCCCTCACTGTTGCCCAAGGTATACGGATTAATTCCTCCCAGGATAGAACATAATAACTATTCTGTGATAGCGACACTTCAAATCACAGAACTTCAGCTAACTCAAAACGTAGCAAATCACACTTGACACTAATGTTTATTTAGAAAATAATGCAACAATATAGAAAAGAGGGGAAAAGATTTCAGATTTTCCATTACTAAGAAATGAGCTCAAACCTCTAAATTTATAGACAAAGGAAGAGTGAGATGGGGAGGTGCAATCCAAAAGGTGCCTCTACCATTTCCCATTCACACCCCTTAATAAAAACGCAACACACCAAGCTGCCCTTTTTTATTGTTCCATTAGCCAAGCTTTGTTCACTATTATCTATATGAGAAGAATCTCATCAAACACTTGGAAACAAGAGGTCAGTTCCCAAGGAAAAGAAAGGGAAAAAACACTCAGTTCCTTGAAATCTTGAGTCTTTCCAAGCAGGACTTCCCATCAAGTTGGTTACTCTGTTGCAACTCCAAGTAATCCCTATACTTCATTGGAATATAAGCTGCTGCGCTGTTTTCATTATCTACAAGTGGAGAAGCTGGGCTCACAATTGTTTCCAGTGATGGACCGTGAGCTGTGGCTATTGATATCCTCGTTACTTTGTTGTTCACCACTGCTCTATGCATATTGCTCTTGTATTTTCCATTACTGAATATCTAACATGATAAAGGACGTATCATTAATCATCATATTTTGAGCCTCAAAGTAACTTGTTATTTATAAACCACTATAAAGGGATTTAATTTACCTCAAGATGGTCGCCGGTGTTTACCAGAAGAGAATTAGGAAGGGCATTGACATTAATCCATTTGCCTTGATACTGAACTTGGAGACCTGAAACTTGGTTCTGAATTAGAAGTGTTAAAAGGCCATGATCTGAATGGGGTGGCATCCCCATTGTAAGTTCAGGTTGAGGACAACTTGGATAGTAATTTCCAACAAAGATTTGAAGGCCTGACTTCAAGTCTAGAGCTTTGTCCAAGAAACTTTCTTCAAGCCCCAGGCTTTCTGATATACCTCCTAGTAACTTTTTTGCCACTTCCCCTATTTTCTCACAATACTCCGATATAATATCCCTATTAAATTGACATTATCAGGTCAACAAAAGATAATTGTCCATAAAAAGTTGAATTAGTAACTGGAACATAAGGTCAGATTACCCAAATTCTTTACATTGTCAGGTATATGTATAATGTAAGTTAATTGACAAACACTATCTTGTACTAGTAAGGACTGACATAAGAAAACTGAATCAAGTAAGGTAAGAGCCTCTGATATTATATTCGTTTTCCAACTTTGGACAATTCAAATAGCAGTCTTCTTAATTTGATGACAATTCCGCGCAGATGAGGAGTAATGTAATAGATGGATACCTGTAGCATTGAGGCTTGGTGGGGGAGTGAAAATGAGGATGAACAAAGACCTTGAGATAGTCTCTCCAGAAGAAGACATTTTCTTTAGAGGCATTAAAACTTGTCCCACATCTTATAGGATCCAACACATGTTTCCCAGCATACTCCCGCTTATCTTCCTCTGGTAAGTTGAAAAAATCATGTGTGCAATCAATCACAGCCTTCATCAAATTTTCTGATATGCCATGGTTCACTACCTGCAGTTTTGCACACCCAATTAAATATTCTCTAGTACAAAACAATTTGAAACGACCATACGAGTCAGTCTCCTTTGTTTTTTTTTTTTTCTTTTCTAAACTACAAGGAGGCAAGGAAAGGGGAATGAATACAAGGTGGGGAATCGAACCCTCGCCAATAAGACAACCAACTGAGCAACTAAGATTCTCGAGTCATTCTCATAATATGTACCATGAAGAAGCCCCAATCTTGACAAGCTTTGCTAAGGTTGTGGATGGCTATGGAACGTTGATGAGGATCACCCGAAGTGAGTAGAGAAAAATCAATGATGGGAATTGAGTTTGAATCATCAGGGTCTGTGGCAGAGGAGTCACCAGGATCATTTGTAGAGTGAACGTAATTAGAAGGTATGAAGTGGAGATCAGGTGAATCAGCTAATTGTTTGATGTTGGGTGGTTGAAGCAGTGGAGCAGCTGTGGTTTCCATCTCTGTTACTGGGTGGAGATAAGCCCAAGTGATGATAATATTTGCTGTCTACATTTGATTGTCATTTATCAAGATATTTTTTTTGTTTTATGTGTCAAAGTAGCAACAGAAGTTGTGGAAAACATTTTATTGAATGACAAGTGTTTGTGCACTCTATTATATATATATAATTGAGGGCCTAAGAAGCCAGAATTTTTATTTATCTTTTACCTCAATTTTTGTTTTTTGTTTTTTCTTCCCTTTTCTTGATTTATATGCTACTTAAAATAATTCAAAAGTCACCTCATAAATTCTCGATCTAATTGCACTTGTTCACTGCTATAATAATCATCCTAAAAGTCACTATCAAACACACGGTTAATCTAACCGTTCATAATAGGACTCATGCTTCTTCTTTGGCGTTTCATCTTCAAAATTCATAATGAGGTTTTTCTTTTAATGTTTACTTGAACTACATATCATTATAAATATTTTAGTTATGTAATTTTACTTCAACATCACTTTTGTTTCATCCCCTTAGACTTCAGTCAACTTCTTATCCTTTAGTCATTTTCTTCATTAAGCCTCTTCCTTATACTCCCTTCAAATTTCCTTTCCGTCATGTCATTTACATATTATATAGACCTTTACTTCAATATGGGCCCCATCATTCCTCCTCAATAATATGCATCTCGAATTTTAGTGTATGATAATGAATTGATGTTCCTGACGCCGCTTTGGATGACAAAGGTCTCTGCACGAGATCGTCATTCTACTAATAAGTGAAGGAATAAAGAAGTGATCATGACATATTTTAGTGTTCGATGGAGATTTTCTTTTTTTAATTTATCTTTCACTTACCCTCCTGTAATTCTTATCTTTATCTATTATGTACTTATTATGATTTTCCTTTTATATTTCCATGGTTGTACTTGTGTTTCGGGTTCAAATGTCAAGATAGGATCTTATTGCTTGACTGGTTTGGTTTTCATTGGATGTTAAGGTTCCAGTATATTTGTATGTTTGTGTTTCGCTGAGTTTATGTGCCCACTTCATCAGGATATTGAGTGGCTACTGAAGGTATTCTTAAAGTATTGACTTTGGTTGTGATAAACAATTTCTCATTTCTTCCCTTGAAAAAATCACAAAATGCAAGATCCTTTGAATCTTCATATTTCCATACTTGTGAGGGCATTTGAAATATTTAACTTTCTATTTTTCAGTTAAACACGTTTACGCTTTAGGGCACCTTTTTATGACCAAAATGCCAAAATCTTTTTTCTCTTTTTGTCTTCTTCATTTCTCAGCCTTAGTTTTTTAGTTTTAATTATTCTTTAAAATCAGATCACTAATGCGTTCAGTCTATTTGTTATCAATCTATCTATGTTATTTGGAAGTTAGAAAAGAAGAAGGAAAAGAATATTTAACATTTTTTCCAAGAAATAGAAATCGATACGGAAGTAAGAAACAACACCAATAACTAAAAATAAAAAAAGGGGGGGGAGGGGGGGGTGTGTGAAAAAGTGTTAAATAGGAGGAAAAGGAAAAGAATAGGTTAAGACAAAATTTACGGGAGGATTCTTATATTTGATTCAACAAATTTGGACGACGCATTCAATTTTGCCGCTTTTCCCTTTTCATTTTTCTACGATTGCAGTTTTTATCATTGTAACTTCTTGGATTTTAAACAAAAAAAAATCTGGAAATAATAAAATTATACTCAATAAAAGAAAAAATTAAATAATTACTTTAAATATCACACAAGCTTCGTTTTTTCTTAACGGACGAGAGGGGGGAGGTTATGGGGAGGGGATTACAAAGTCGGGAATTGAACAAGGCGAAAGTTCATATAGCTAATCAACTAAACTATTGTAAGATTCTGCACAAGCTTCCTTATAATTTGTTACACGAGAACTTTGTCTTTCTATTTCAATTTAGTCTTGACTCTTGATTATTCCAACAATTAGCTAGCAAGTTTGAATGGATAAATCATAAGTTCAGCTACTCCCTTTGTCCTAAAATACTTGTCATGTTTCATTTTTCGAGAGTAAAATTGACTAACCTTATATGGATTAGATTAATTTAATATTTTAAAATTAAATTTTAGATATTTGTAAACTATATAAAAAATTACAGATCTTCTCATATAGTACGGTGAAAATATATATATTAAAATATTGATCAAATTTCATGTAATTTAACTCTCAAAAAGTGAAATGTGATAAGTTTTTTGAGAAGGAGGGATATTAGTATTTTTCTTTTACAAATAATGTGAGTTAGTTTTTGGTTTGTAAATTGTGGTCACATTACATGTGACTTGGCACTTCTGTTATACCAAGTTACATACCTTTTTTTCTCGACAAAATTACACAATAATGCACTCCATAAGTTGACTTTGCATTATTTTAGCTCACTTACAAGTTTGCAAATGTGTAGCCAAATATCAATAAGCTTAGATCTAAATTTTTTTTCCAGTTTTTTTATTCTCTATATCTTTAAGCGTGAAATATTTTCATTCTCCTTTTTCCTCAAGTTTCTACATACCTATCACAACTACGAAAATTCACAAACAGACGCGAGAAATCTAAAATCTCATCTTCTTTAATGCTAATCTTATTAGTTTTTGAATACGATTTTATGAGAAATTTGGAGTGTGTATTGTTTAAACTTATTAAAATTAGTCTAAGTAGACTGTATACAAAGTTTGAAGTCATTTAGTGGAGATTTGGAATAGTCTTAATCAAGAATTGCAAGTGAAAATCGTACAAAATATTCATCAGAGATGCTTATACACTTTTATACAATATTATACACTTTTATACAAAGAGGTATATTATATATATAGTTGTATAAAAGTGTATATATAAAAATGTATAAGCACAGTAGTGAAAATGTTAGTGATACACCATGTTTATATGTGTAGCAGTAGAAGAAGAAGAAGAAGAAGAAGAAGAAGAAGAAGAAGAAGAAGAAGAAGAAGAAGAAGAAATGTGAGAAATCCACCAAACACCTGTAAATAATGTATCATCCTTGTATAAAATAATGTATAAGAGGTGTTTATACACTATTATACATTACTTATACAATATTATACACTATTATACAAATGAATCTTATTAATGGAACTTCACTAGTTCTTCTTCTTCTTCTTCTTTGGACATCTTCTGAAATTCAACTCAAATCTACCTCAAATCTGCTCCAAATCACTTCAAATTTGAGTTTTGAACTCCCCTTGACGATCCCAATCAATTGGGCCAACACCCAATCCAAACAACTAACAAAATCGAAAAATCCAATTTCTGAAATTGAAGCTTCGAATGACCTTTAATGGTGACTCCAAAAATAATAATTCTCTTAAGTGGTATTTTTTCTTCTCATCTTAATAGTGATTATCAATTTTGAATCTGGAAGGAGAATTGAAGAATATATAATGGTAGAAAAACTTTAGGGTGCAAAGTCGTTAAAGAGGAAGAAGAAGAATGAAGAAAAGAAAAAAATAGGGTAGGCTAATTGGTGAAAAATAATTTTCAAATTATGTACAACCTAGGCTATATCAGGTAAGGACTTCAAACGTGAGCCATTTTTTGATGGATTATGGGGCCAAGTGACAAGGAGCGTAATTCCCCCTTTTTTTCTCCTCTTTCCTGTCTCACGATTGTCCCTATATAGGTGTTTATTTATTAGACATTTCCAAACACTCAGTTACGTGCTCTTTGATGGTCTCAAATTTACCCCCTCCTTTGTAATGTTTATATATTTGCCATTCATTTATGGTTTCAAACATTTTCCCTTCCCTAATAATGATACTTTTAACATTCATTTACGTGATTTTTTCTAATTTCTTACTATAAAACCTATTTGACAAATCATTTAACAAAGGAAACGTGCACGCTTATCCTTCAAATTAGAATTTCATGTTTAGCCTTTTGTTTTGGCAAATTTTCTTTATTTTCTCGATCAACACAAGTCTTTACTCCATGAAAAGGCCAAAAACAAGCTAGCACTATTAATCGTACAATTTCAGTATTTGTAAAATCTTCTACAAAAAACTCTCTGCAACTTATATTTCTATACGTAAAGTGTTTACTATTTACTTAAGCAACTGATATTCAGAAATTCCATTAGATTTATTTGGGGGGACGCTTTAAATGGTATCTGTGATCGCACATTTAATTATAGTATTCTCAAGAATTTAGGTAATTTTGTCATAAGTTATATCATACTATGTGCATGTAACAATTAACTAAATGTATGAAAAGTCTTTTAGTTTTACCCAGTCTTTATATTACTTTTCTTTTGTTTTTTACAAATTGGAAAAAAATAAAAGTATGAGTTTAAGCAAGAAAGACATGGTTAGTATGTCCGTTCATGCATTAAAAAATACATCTAATTAAACATATATCTTCCAATGATATTAATTAGAGAGACACAATTGTAGTATGCACAATGTTTATTACATGATTGATAATAATATTTATGAACATCATCTAAAAAGTGCACACTTACACGATTAATTTCTCTTTGAGAAGACTGTCCTTAAGAGCTGTCATTTTAAAACTACAAATATATAGGTAGGCAATGCTCTATTTATTTGGATTTTCTTGCTTTAGTTTCTCTTTGAGACAATTGTAGTATGCACAGTTTTTTGCTTTATTTGGTAGACTGTCCTTGCATGATATATTTGTTGTTTTTATTTTGGTACTGTAAAGTTTTTATTTTTTTATATTAATTGAATTACAAAAAAGAACACCTAACTGTGCGAAGCGCGGGTTTAATTAACTAGTTAAATAAAAAGGAAGGGCAATAACGCAAACGTTTTCTTTAATAAGTCAGATAATTTGTGGTTTATATTTTTGTCCAATCTGTTTGTAAAATTTATAACACCTGGATAAAGTTCACAAATTCTGCTCCTATCCATCGTAAAACCTTCCTCAAATTCATCAAAAGATAAATTAACCCACTCGTGTTATTAAGGAGTTTTGATTACTTCTTTTTTGGGGTAAATTAAACAAAATCCACTTGTCAAACAAATAGAATGCTTCAGTCCACAGAACTTATAGTAGTAATTTATTATGTAAGACATAATTAAGTAAAAGTTCTCCTCAGTCCTCATCTATCCATAAAGACCAATCA